GAAGACAAGTTGAGCTCATGAACCCTTATGTATACATATTCAGCCAAGTATAGTTTAGGGTGTATATGAACTTAGTTTTATGTCAAGTAATAGGGTTATTAAACCTTAAATATATTCAAGATGATTAAGTCATTTGGATGATGCAAGAGAGTAAGAAAAGTTTATGAGTCTTCATATATAGGCTTCAACCATATTGAAGAAAAATAACCTAAGTTGTTGTTTAATTTGAAGTAAGTGTCTAATATCAAATATCAAAGGAAGTCAAGTGGATTTTAGATTTAAGAACCTAGTTTGACCTAGTATTCATGTTTAGGTCATAATTGCAAGAAAAATTTAGAAACATAAGGTAAATGTTAAAGACTTGTTGGAATGGCATCAATTGACAAGATTAAGTGTTGGAAAAATCGTGTGAATCACCATCAAGTTAGTTTCGAAATTGACATGTAAATATGTTAATTTCTTCAAGTTCAGCTAACATGTATGTGGTGGCTAATGGTACTTTTCTTCATGACTTCAGTGTGCAATCAAGAGATTTGACATTGGAAGGTCAAGTTACAAATAGAGGATAACTTGTATTTCAAGTTACCTTTCAAGGAAAGCTTTTGTGATGTAAGCTTTCAGTTTAGGGGTTTTCTCCTTCTTTGTTGTTCTACCATGGTACTTTCTGTATGATTGGATGTGTTAGATACTTAGTATATGCACATTCATATAGACAAGTACATGCATGACAAGATGTGTGATATGACGTGTTTAATTCATGATTTGTTTGATTCAAGGTTCATGGCCACTGAATAATTACAAGTATGTACTTTCATTAAGGACACAGGCCTCGAAAGTGCATGATACTTTCCATATGAGGGACTTAAGCCTCGGAAGTATCTAAATTACAAGTTTACAAATTGTGTGATAAATTACAAGATGACATGTTGTACTATATGCTTTGTATCTGACTTTTCATGTAGGAAGTGAACTTATAGGTGGGGACTACTCCATAAACCCAGAGTTTACTAAGATGATTAATCTCCCCCTATTTGGGGATATATCTCAAGTACTTCAATAGCAGGGGAATCCTCTCAGGGTAAGAGGCTAGTGTAGGGTGGCTAGAGGATCCAGCTGAAGCATGTATCTAGCTTAGTATTTTGAGGATGAATGTATATCATGTTTTGTGAAGCATGAGATATTATGATCATGCATATGTATGGTTATTATTCATTTTGAGAAGCACATGTTGCCTATATGTGTATATGTAAATTATGAAGACATGTATTTCTATATGGTATCATGTTATATGTATCTGAAATGGCATAGAGCATCATTTCAATGTATATATATGTTGGGATATGATTTTCTAGATATTAGGTATCAAGTTAGCATGTGGGATTTATCCCTAGTTGTCCAGATTACAGCTGTTATGTTGTCCAATAGACTCTATCCTGAATGATACGTGTTGTTATATTTAGATAGTGATTTGATCATTAGTTATGAATTATGGTCATAGGTTATCAAGTTTTGGATTTTGTACAGTTATGAGACTGTATAGTTTATTTCATAAAAAAAAAGTTTGCATGGCAAAATATACATAAAGTTTACATAAAGGAAAAAAAAGTTAAGTCACGTAGTTACAAAAGACTATTGTGATACTTTATATGAGTCTTCCACTACTTTAATTAAGTATGCAATGCTTTTATTACCGTATGTCATGTTAACAAATCGGCAGCCGATGTGGCGTTACAGACTAATCCGAAATTTGGGGCGGATTTAAGATTATGATTTTAAACTCCTCTTAAAGATGATACTAGGGAGAATCAAATACATGTTCTTACCTCTACTTGTTGAGCTCTCATGCACCAACTGAACTACTATCATTTTATACTCTTAACTCACTTTATTCATTCGTTAACTTGATTATTTGTTTTTTTTTTTTTTTTTTTTTTAATGTACTCGCGGTATTCTAACAAGACCAGGGCGGGGGAATACCGCCCCTTCTGTACCAGGAAAGAATAGGTTGGTAATGTTAACATTTTTTTTTCCCCTTTCTAGTTAATCATTTGAAGAGTAGGATGAAAACAAAACAAAAAACCTACATTGCGATTATTATTTTTCATGAAAACATGAAGACAATACAAAGAAAATAATTTTTTTTAATGTATTGATAAATTATACTATTATTTTTAACTTCATATCAAAATCTCAGTTAATATATTTAATTATACTAATAATTAATGGGATATCAAATTCATTAAATAGTATAATAATACATTATTGCACATGAGTCATGCTATTGCTATGCATCACTACTGGTTTTTTACGAAAACCATTAACAAATAATTTGTTTGTGTACGTTTAGTCAATAAATGCAATCTATTTTTATTTTTTTTGAAAAAAGATAAGTAAAATTTTTAACAAAAATCAATCATGTCGTTCTTGATGGAGAGATTTTGTTTTTGTAACAATTAGCATTTATTTATAAAATTTAGTTATAATGAAAATACTTTAAGGGAAGTATATATTAATAAAGATTATAGAAATCAAATTACAATTTAAATGGTGAGTCAATCAGATCAATACATTCATAGCTGATTTACTTTTATTCTATTAAGAGATACGACGTATACAATAAAGGACTTGCAAAGAGAATATTTGATTCTAACAAATTGTTTGAAAAACAAGTTAACAAGGTAAAAAAATTAAAGACATGTCCAATTACATAATACAATATTCGGGAACTCTCTTCGGCAGACCTCAAATTTTCCCTTTGGAATCTCCGTGTACCAAGAAAATCACAATATAAAACATGCAAGTCAAATAAGAATTTATTACAAAGATCAACGAATATGACAAATTTGTTATGAAATAAAATAGAACTTTGAATACAGACACGCACGTAGAACAATAGATCGAAGACTTCCTTTATAAAAAAATAAAAAATATAAACGAAATAATTAATTTTGAGCAAATCAACAAAGGGAAAATATTTCTGTTTTCGACACAGAAAATATTTTTCTGTCATATTCATATAAAAGTAAAGGAAAAAATATTTATTATTTTAAATGATAGAAATTATGTCATTTTAAGAGAGATACAGACATAAAAAATTTGAATTTTAAATTAAAAAAAACACTCACTTTCTCTCTCCCATAATTTTTATTTTTCTGTGTCTATCTTTCTCCTAAAATGACATAACTTATGTCATTTAAATTGACAAACACCAAACCAAAAGTAAACGTATTCACTAATTTTTTGTTTTCTTCATTTCACAATGTAATTCACTCATATAAGTGTAACTGTGTAAGTGAGTTCCATAAATATTTTTTTCTTCCTCAAAAACAAAAACATTAAACTTATAAATAAATGCCACGAGACACGACTAATGGACTTTAGTGGGTCCCACAGAGTAAAAGCGTGCGCTCTCTTTTTCATTGTCATGTGGTCATGGACCTCGTTTTTCTTTCTTTACTTTCTCTCTCTCAGATTTTTTTCTGTGCTTTTTATTTAATGGGATGCTTTTATGTTTTATTTAATATGATTCATTCATATCTAAATAATGATAACAATTTTATTACTTTACCTCAATAATTTTATTAACTAATTTATCTCAAATAACTTTAAAATAATATTATTTTGGAATTTAAGAAAAAAATACAGAATATTTTAAAAAATTTATTTTGATATTAAATATTGAATTTTATTAAAATCCTTTATTTTTTTTGCAATTCTAAAATAATTATTTTTATAATTGCAAGAGATAAGTTTATCCCTTTCAAGAAAAACATTAATCCATTTTTCTATCTCATTAAATTTGATCCTAAATAATTAAAATGTTCGTGGTATGATCATGTTGAATAATATATGGGTGATAATTTTATTATTTTTATTTCAATAATTTTTTTCTCAACTATCACGATTAATGTTAATTTGATCATAAATAATTAAAATCCTCGTGATATAGTGACTTTGGATAAAAAAAAAAAAAAAAATAGGTGAGAAAATTCATTGGCAAGTAAAGGTGAAATGCGGAAATAATAAAGGCATAAAAATACATAGAAAAAAGAGAAAGAGAACGAGGGGGAAGGCGCTTTTGGTATTTGGTTTGGTTAATGTTGGCTAAATCATGTGGGTTTAATATTTAGATGATAAATTTATTTTTTATAATATATATATATATATTTTTTTTTTTAAGTGGTCCCATCATCATAGGAAATCATTATAGGAGTGATAAACGAACCAGGGGCCTTTGACTCGGCTCGTGAAGGCCTGAGCTTACATGCTTAATATTGGTTGTTGAAACCAGGCTTAGACTTATATAAAAGCTCGTTTAATAAAAAGGCATCATGCTTCAATTCAAAAGTTCGGCCTTGGAGTCTATCAGGCTGACCCAGTATATTAATTTTTATTTTTATTTATATTTTTTATACTATTTGTAATAATCCTCTCAATCCATTTTACCCATATTTGATTACCTAAACAGACTTTTTGAATGATTTTGTTATGTATTATACTGTTTGAATATACATTGAATTTATGAATATTTATGGAATTACTAGTGTTGTTAATTGTATATTCTGTTTGGATAAATTTTTGTTGTCTTATTTTTTTCTAACAGGCTAAATCAGACTTTTAGTTTTTGTAAATAAGACAGGCCACATGCCGATAATTATATTCGTAACAGGTAACAGGCTTGGTAAGACTGACACATTTAAATAGAAGCTTAGCTTTTTAAGACCAAAGTTCGGTTCGATCCGTTAACACCCCTATAAATGAATCACTTCGTGTGTAAAAAGAGAAAGAAGGAGTGCATTCTCCTATAAAAATATGCAGAATCTATTTGGACCGAAATAAGTAGAGAGAAAAAAAAAATGTAGATCCATATTTATTAATAAATATAAAATATAATTTTAACTCTCATAATATAATAACACTGAACCCATATGATATATATTGATATAAGCAGGGTAGCACGCATCGCAAGCATAAGAGTGGGATTATGTTAGAGATATAGGCTCAGGAAAACCGATCCTCTCTGTAACGGTTACTTTTGTGGCTGTCTGTGAGAAGAAAAAAAAGAAAAAGAAAAAAGAAAAGAGCATTCTGATCAGTGACTGTAGACTTGGTTGCTCCTTGCTGCTGAAATGGATTATAACAACAACAATGACAAGTAAATCTCTCTCTCTTTCTCTCTCTCTCTCTCTCTCTCTCTCTCTCTATATATATATATATATATATATATATATATATATATATATATATATATTGCTGGGTAATTGGTTTGGCAAATGGTTTTCAGGGTTTGGTAAGAAAAGCATTTATGTGCTTGAAGCTGTAGGCTCTGATTTTGTTTGTGCTGTTCAATTTTTTTTGATTGAAATATGAAATGGGTTTCCTTCGTTTTGTGAATTAAGTTTTTTTTTTTTTTTTTGGTGTGGTTGTTGGGTGCATTTTCTTTTAACTATTACCATCAAATGCTGGAAAATGGTTCTGGTTGATTGATTCAGTAGTTTTTCTGTTTGTGGCTTTGATTTGCTCTTGATATTATTTCATTGGCATCAAAAGTTTATGGATAAAGAGTGGATGATGAGGATGTGTGCTCTGGTTAAATTGGTGGGTCATCATTTGTGCCCTTTTTTATCTAATTTTTTTTTTCTTTATTTTCCTATGTGCCCTTTTCTGCATTTGCAGTTATTCCTTGCCTAATATTATCAACAGATGAAAGAAAAATTACTTAAACACATGCAATGATTTCTAATGTAGAATCTGATGGGTTCAGTTTCTAACTTTTTGTTTGGTGGTTCCGGTTACCATATTGTCAATTCGCTTGTCTATAGTTCTACTTATGATGTCTAAAAACATTGTTTGGGGTCTAAGTTAATGCTACCCCTTGTGGATTCTTCAATATTGGTTCTGGAATGGGGTTCTTTTATGATTTATTTGACTTGTTATCTTTTTTGTTGGTTAATCTTGCCAATGTTGCATCACAACTATGCCATTTACTTGTCCACTCTATCTTTGTGTGATGCCAGGGAGCCTTGGGACTGGGATGGGGTGGATTTTTGTCTCCAAAAGACTTCCAATATTGGTAAGTACCACTGTAACTTAACTTAATTCTTCTACCCCCACCGATGCCTAAGAAAAATTTGTTGTTTTGGGCAGAAATTTCAGAAGAGCTGTGGAATGATGTGCCTCAAAATAAAGAAGATCTTTCCTTCATGTTTGATGATTTAACAACCCCGGTTAAAGCTTGCGGTAATTTGGAATATAATGTCAATAATGGTGGTAAGACAGTTTCTATGGCATGCAGCTTTTTTGACATTGTCTTATCAATATGTGCAACTTGATAAAGTGTTCTTTTTCTTTTACTATTATTATTATTATTAGTTATCATCTTCTAATTCACATAACGTTGAATTTCAGATTCAAATGATATACTAAAGGAACTAGAGGACTGTAGGGAGACTTATTCTCAAGTCAAGAGGCGGCGGATGCTACAGTTCAACAGCCTAGATAGGGATCATTCTCTATCCAATGAAGAGATGTCTTCAGCATATTTGAAAAATGTCAGTGCTTGTAGCTTTTTATTTTAAGTATTTTTCACACTCCCAGCTTGTTGTGTGGATCTAACAACATGAAGAAGACTCAAGAAGTAAAGATCTGTTCTTGTTTGTGCAAAACTGCAAATATGTGAATTTTGCATTAAGTAAATTACATGTTGATATTAACATTATGTTCTTTATTGGGAAAGGGATCAATATTGTCTTCTGTGTCATGCTGTTCTTTTTTGTTTGACTTGTCTTTTCTTATGTTAGACTTCACAATAATCCTTGATGAAAGATGACAGACCATTTTGTTTTTTTTACCGCCTCGTACTGATTCAGCTGTGATGTGGAGCTTATTCACAATCCGCACTATGTTTGCATTAAGCACCAGTTAGAATCTTAGGATTTGTGATTCGAATTTCATGATTTGGTACAGTTCTGCAAACCACCGATTCGTATCATGTGATGAATCAGAGATGGCTTTGAATCGTGCAATATATGCATGAATCGGTGCAATGTTGTATCACCAATACAAATTACACGATTGAATGATTCATTAATTCTATTTTTTTTCTTTTTTTCTTTGCTTTTATCAATTCTCATAAAAGAAATTGAAATTAAAAGTCAAATAAGTTAAATGAAAAGGAAATAAAGGAGGATTACTGAATGACACTCTATTTGATTATTCCATTGCTCTGTTTTCATTCTTCTAAAACAAAGGATTCACACAGTGACTCATTCACTCTCTGCATCCTATTTGGCTATTCTATTGCTCTTTTTCATTCTTTTGAAATATAAGCTTCACATAGTCACTTGCTCATTCATTCTATTTGCACCTTATTTGGTTATATTATTGCTCTATTTTGTTTCATCTGAAACATAGGCTTCACACAGTAATTTTATGACTGTTACTTTATTCCGTATGTAGGGGAAGGAGGACAAAGCTAAGGATATTTTCCCAGAAGCGTCTGTGTCACAATGGCTGTCTGGGGCATCAGGTTTACCTTTTATAACATTTTTCTCTCTTTTTTCGGATTTTGATTTCTAATCCTCGTTCCCCAATCATTATAGGATACACATTAGGAAATGCATCTGGGGCATCAGGTTTACCTTTTACAAGATTCTTCTCTCTTTTTTTGGATTTTGATTTCTAATCCTCGTTCCCCAATCATTATAGGATACACATTAGAAAATGCATCTGCCCCTGGTTACGAGGACCTTGAGTCAACTGAAGGGTGGCTTGCAGAATGCTTTAATGATGTTGAGATGCAATTCAATCCTGATGATTTTTCAGGGGCAGATGATGTTCAGATTGATGTTGCAGGTAGATTAAATTGTTTTCCATCAACTATTATCTGCTAATTTTGTTTCTTCCTTCATTCTGTGCTATTTCCTCCACGCATTGAATTTTATTAAAAAATATTTCTTCCTCCTGTAGAGCTTAGTGACTTTGCACCATCATATGAACAAAATGTGGCTCAGCAGCATGTCACTCAAACCCCCAGAAACATTGTCTTCAAAGGTTTGACGTTGTTCTTGATGCAGTCTCTTTTTGTGTTTAATTATACTTAGTGTCTGTGTTATGATCTAGTTGTAAGGTATGAGATATGGAGTCCCACATCGGAAACATAAGGTTCTAGTGTGACATTTATATGGACTTTACCTTGCAAGCTAGCTTTTGGGGTGAGGATCTCCAAAGGTTCGTATCAATTGGTATCAGAGCTTGCAGTATTTCACTTAGTTGCAATCGAGCGGCGCGGCTAGTGACACTAGCATTGCAGTGTTCGCCTAGGGCTAGAAAAAAATAGCTCCAAATCAGGCCGCATGGGCGCCAGGATTGTGGGGCATGGTGAGACGTTACGATCCAGTTCTAAGGTATTGGGCTTGGAGTCCCACATCAGAAACATAGGTTCTAGTGTGAGTATGAACTTTGGGCTCTCCTACCTTACAAGTTGACTTTTAGGTGAAACTTTCCCAAGGTTCATATCGTTGTGGATAATTTCTTTCGTATGCTACATGGTGTATAGTGATGCACCCACAAAATTTGAGTAGAAGGCATGTTTTTACAAAAGTTGTTTTCATGAACGGCTTTAAAATACTGTGTAGTAGCAAGATCCTTATGCCTGGAATCCAAACTTCTTTTACGACATTTTTTGACAAAACAACAAATTCAGACTTCTTTTTCATGTTTAGGTAGGAAATCTTTGATACGGACACCCACGAAGTTGGCTTGTTCTGTGGCCTATCCATTTGCTTTCATTAAACCCAGTGGTGCGCATGGAGATGTAACTCTGAATCAAATAAATCAGCGCATTCAAACTCCGCCTCCTTCAAAATCAAATCAAAGCAATGAAGATCCATCTACTTTACCCAAGTCAGCCTTCTCAGGGAAACCTGTGGTTGGCAAAACAAAAATTCGAACTGAAGGGGGAAAAGGAAGCATCACAATTATGAGAACTAAAGGCTAAGTGTATGTTGTTCACTTCTAACTTTTGTCTCACCCATTAATGTGTGGGGTTGACTTCATTTTCCGTAATATATCTTGCAGATTGTAGAAGTTGTTGATACTGCAATATGTTTTGTTTTTATTGACATCCATATATTACACCACCTTAGTGTTTGTTTCCTAGTGGGGGCTAGATAATCTTATAGCTGTTCTTTTGGGGAACATGATTTTGTTTTGAGCTAAGTCTGTAATGAGAATCTTTATTAGCTCCTTAGTCCCCATAAGTTCACAATCCCCCCTGGCTCTAGAAATGACAATTTCACTAAGCTTGCACTTAGCTTTTGTAATTGAAACATACAGATTATTATAGTTTTATGGCCTTGTTTATGAAGTCTTGCATCTCCAATGTTTTTAATTTGTGTAAGAGTTGTACGCATATCAATCTGTGTTATGTTCTTTTCATTTTATATTTGTAGCCTGGAATTGAATAAAGATACTGTATTGCGGAAATGTAGAGAAAAATGGATGGAATAGGTAAGCATTAGATTATAGTTGAATTGGATGTAGCTCAAGCTACACTCTTGATATTCATTTAGTGTAGAACAGGCCTTATAAGAATCTTGAGTAGTATCTGAACAACCACTTCATGTTCATCCTACAAATGAACAGGACATTACATTTGGTAAATTTAGCCCTGAATCATCGTCATTTTCTAAACATTATTTCTTCCCTTTCTCGATGAGTCTTATATTGGTTTTTCTTCCCATTGCCCGGTATACCAAACACCCTTCGATTGTGTGTTTTCTTGTTTGGACTTAAGGAAATGTTTTCTTTATGGGGTCCGAACCTTTAGGTAGTGTTTGGTTCGGGAGAAAAAAAATTTTACTAAGAAAATGTAATTGATAGGGAAATGGTTGGAAAGTGAGTTTGGTAAGAAAATGTAAAAAAAGTTGTTTGGTTGACCGAAATATTACCAGGGAAATTTATTTAAATATGCAAAATCTATGTTTGAGAGAAACTTTGCACCTGTTTTTTCACTTCTCCAGTCATCTCAAAATACCACATCTTAATTGATATTCTGTAATAGTAAATTTCATCCAAAAATCAACATAAAAGTCATTTTCCCATCTATCATATTTGTCTAGTATTTTTGGAAAAAACCTGAACCAAACGTGGTATTTTCCAATATCCACTTACACTTTTCCATCAATCCAAAATAAACCTTCAACCAAACACTAAAGGTGTTTTGGTCCTGTGAAAGTAATGTGATATAAAGGATGGTTAAAATACATCATTTTTTATCTGGTTAAATTAGTGGGGTAAATGGGAAATGAAATTGTGATTAATCTATATAAATAAGTGATAATTAAATTTGAGGGTTGTTAACATCTGTGTATCTACCCCTTATTAGAAAATATTTTAAGGGTTAATAAGTTTCGAGTAATGAGTATATCATTTATTAAATATTATCAAAATAAATAAATAATCTATGTATATTATTCCTATGTTTGTGATTATTTTCAACTGTATCTTAGTCACTGAAAATGTGCTCCCCTTATGGATAGGAGAGTGCGAATTTTATTCTTGTGCACCAGCTAACTATCCTAGCTTGAAACATGCGGAAGTGGACCTTCTGATCCCACTGTCCTGATAACATTTTCAGTACTACCGTGGTATTGAGCATTGGATATGATAATTTAAAATAAAATTACAGATTATATATTTCAGAAAATATATAATTATGTCAGGAAATATATAATAATAATATTAATTTTTTTTTTTTGTTTCTTTCTTTAGGAAACATATCAGCTAATGTATTATGCTTCGGTAGGATATAGGTATACCGTATATTAGATTTTTTCACTTTACTACCCTTTGCAATTGCTTCCATATCCAAGTTTAATGAAGTCATTATTTTCAATGTTGTTCTTTAATAATCTTCATTTTGTTAGCCTAGATTGTTCAACTTCTTTATTCCTTGATTTGCGCTAACCATTACGATAAAGTATCACCAGCAATTATTCTCCACAATGGCAGCATTTTCTATGCACCCTTGAAAATGGGTGTATGAGTGGTTCCTTCAACAACAGTTATTGGATATAGAGTAAATACCTAAATTGATCCCTGACAAAAAATTCGGTATCCAAATTAGTCCATAATAAAAATAAATTCGTTGGATAGTCCCCAACAAAGACAAACAGGACCCACGTTAATCCTTCTGTTAGTCTAAAATTGACGGTGTCATTGGCGGTGCTGAGGTGTAACATTAAGAGACATGCTGAACGCCACATTGGACCATGAACGACATTGTCTGGTGAGAGGGGATCCACGTTGCTCAGAATCATCTTTGTTTAAACCCAAAATTGTCCCTCACCTAACCGTTGGTCACTTTACCATTTCTGTCTCGTGAAACTTTGACATTCCATTGTTGAGAAAGAAGACGATCATTCTGTAAACATTCGCCTGCGTTTGGATTGCAAAGTTCTTCAACAATCGGAGGGAACCGGTGGAAGAAATACCTTTGGTTTGGTGTGAGGCTCAACGTTCCGTACAAATGACCCAATTGAACGCTGTCCTCCCCTCTCAATTTCTTCAAAGGAACGTCGTCGTATAGTTTAGGGTTCTTCTTAAACCAGAGAGAAGGGGATTGAATCGAAGATTGAAGGTTTGAATTTGGGGATTACTGATTTAGGGTTTATCCTCAATTTGGTGTTTAGGAGATGAATATTTATTTTAGGAGAGGGAGCTCAAGTCCTTGTAGTTCATTTGGGTCCAGAAGTGAAAGAAGGAGAGATGCCCCATTGTGTAAATGTGGGAGGCACAGTGTTGTTTACACCTCCAAAACCATTAGAAACTCAAATAGAGCATTCTTTGAGTGCCCCAATTTCAAGGTGAGGTATTTTTTGCATGCGTTAACTGTCTAATTTGAATGTTATTAACAATTTGGTTTAATTTGGTGTTATGAAAAGAAACCACACTGCAACTTTTTTACATGGGTGGATGATGCTACATCTGATACCATGGAGCTAGAATATTGGAGAATTAATAAGCTGGAGTTGAATGTAGCTGAAATGAAATTCAAGTTGAACTTTGTGGACATGAAGCTCAATGATGAACTGCAACTGTAGGTGAATGACCACAAAAAGAAGATTAATGAGCACCATATAAAGATTGATGAACTATCAATGAAGATGCAACAGAGTTTGAAAGGGTGGAGAAGGAAATTAAGCATGTGTGTAGGTGTGCTAGGGTGTTTGTTGGATCCATTATTGTTGTGTTTCTAGTATGTATATATCTTGCAAGTAGGCTGGAGTGAAATAAAAAATATGGTTCTGTTGAGATTTGTTGGTGTAATGAATTGTTGTTCATGCAATGTATGTAGCATGGCTTATGTATTTGAAGTTATGGTTATTGGCACAAAATGTTGTATAAACTCGATGGAGATAAAAAAGGAATGGAAACAATGTATAAACACTAAACTAAGAATGTGATGGTGTGAATTATGCAGAAGTTAATTGTATTAGGCATGACTAATATCAGCATGTACAAGGAGAAATGACATTGCTGGTGTGTTAATAGCAAATAGTGGCACTGGTGTTAACAGAACTTTAGCCGGGAAAAGGACCCCGATAAAATTGTTAGGGACCATACTGGTCCCCTTTGTTAAAAACCAAGGACTAAAAAGGTCCTCGATAAAAAATGTTGAGGACTTATAAGGGAACTTAAAAAGCATATGGATGATAAGTGCAGTTAAGAAACACATGACCCTTAAATGGACACAGCAAACATAACAAACATACCATTGTTGACAAAAACCAGAAAATGTATCAGCAGATAGATGGTTTGGACCAACATTTAAAAATTGCAGCATTGAATACAGTCATGACAGTAAAGATAGATAGTAACCAAACATTTTGCATTCATTTCATCACATCCCAGTTACAACTACTAACCATGGCCAACCCATAGTCATACAAAAAAATCCTACTGACATCTTTCCATGAAGGCCAATACATATGTGTTCCAAAAAAGCATAATGTTCCTACTAACTATGACCATGACCAGAGGCATACAAAAAATGGCCTAATGACATATTTGCACAGGGCCAATACCGAAGTATTTCCAAAAAAAATACACTAATTACAATTCCAATCGATTTCTATATCTGAGGCATCCAAAAAATGGCCTAATGTTAGTGAATCTGAATGGATTCCAATCAATTTTGTGGGGCTGGTCTTGGTGGCTTGAACCCTGGTGTAGACATGAAGCTCATGAATCTGGCCCTGGTGCCACTACTTGCTACAATAACTGTCTCATTGGTCACAACCTCAGTAGGATTCCATGGAGTTGGGCTGCTACCTCTTGATGCTCTTGAACTTGGTTGAGCCTCAGTTGTTGCTTGCTGGCTGCTTGTCTCTGGTACAGGACATCCTTGACTCATGACTATTTCTTCAACTGTCCTTGATTGAATTTTCAACACTAACTGGTTTTTGCTTGGACTTTGAAGGAGCAGCAGGTCCCTTACATGTAAACCCTAAATTAATAAACCCTAAATCAGTAATCCCCAAATTCAAACCTTCAATCTTCGATTCAATCCCCTTCTCTCTGGTTTAAGAAGAACCCTAAACCATACAACAGCGTTCCTTTGAAGAAATTGAGAGGGAAGGACAACGTTCAATTAGGTTTCTTCAAAGGATTCTGAGCAACGTGGATTGTGGAGCTTCAGACGACGTCGTTCATGGTCCAACGTGGCGTTCAGCATGTCCGTTAACGTTACACCTCAGCACCGTCAGTGACGTCGTCAATTTTGGACTAACAGAAGGCTAACGTGGGTCCTGTTTGTCTTTGTTGGGGACTATCCAATGAATTTATTTTTGTTAGAGACTAAATTGGGTATCGAGTTTTTTGCCAGGGACCAATTTGGGTATTTACTCTTGGATATATTTTTAATTAGATAAATGGTTGAAATATGTTACCTGAAACTTGCTAGATAGATGAATGGTTGAGAAATGTTACCCGAAACTTGCTAGATAGGTTATGTATCTAAGATTTCAATATTGCTAATTTATTCCCCCAAAAAAATTATTTTTATATCACTGTTTGCAATATTAGTAAGTTGTAATAGGAAAGTTAAATTTTATATTTTTAGGTGACTTTTTTGAATATCCAAAACTTTATGTAGCTTACCGCTTTACTTCATCCTTGCACAAAATTTCTAAAGCCTTTTGCCACTTAAAGATTTCATTTGGGGTGCAGTAATTTTATTGGTATATGAGACTTTGTATTTACAGTAAACAATATTCAATGAGTAGCCTTATATTCTGAGGGAATAACATAAAGTTAATAGCGTAGGATATTTTCTAAAGGGTAGTTACGGGCCGTAAGATTAAGTCTTAAATGTAGGTTTTTGTGTGATATGTCTTTACTAGTTAAATCATGAAATTTTAATATGAGAGGATATACTCTCTCATTAATAGGTGCTCAGATTCGTTGAATATAACGCATGCTTTTTCTAGAATTATTGGAATTTATTAAGTTCGTTCTTTATAGTTGTAAGTGAATAGTAATTATGGTGGCATGATTTATTATTATTATTGTAGTTGGTTCCAAGGGAGAGGGACATCCCTAAGAGGAGAAGGCTGTTAAGGTAGAGCTACCCTGAATTTGGTTCTCTAAAAAGTGACCCTGCACTACTAAAACCCTCAACTTTATTACATTTTACAAATTGTTATATTTCATTATTACCTTCACCTAATTTATCTAACGCTAGTAAAATAAAGAAATAAACACAATGTTATAAAATATTAATGGGTTACTGAAATCTGAATTTAAATTATGAAAACCGTTGTCATTTATTCTTCCATTATGATTGTTTAATATCGGATTAATTGTCATTCAATATTGTAATCCTATATATGGATATTACCATGTTAATGAGGAACCACAGATTTAGGACTAAATTATTCCTAGGGTTCAATTTCTCGTGGCTTAGTTGGATATTCTAGTGCTGGACTAAATTATTCTTGGCGTTCTATGAAGCAGTTGTTTGTAGCTACATCTTCTAACCACTCATAAATAATTGCTTTAAATGAAGTTGGAAGAAAATATGTTTGGTTAAGATTTGTTATAACACCTATCCAAAATTCTTATTGTTTAACTTCGATCATAGATTCCCTAAGCATAATTTATGAAGACAATGCTGCTTGTATTTCATAAGTTAGGGGAGGATATACCAAAGGTGATAAGACCAAACATATTTCACCAAAAAAATTCTATGCTCATGAACTCCAAAAAAGTCAACAAATTGATGTTAAACAGATTTAGTTTATAAATAATCTTGGTGATGCCGACATGAAGTTTTGAGAAATTAGTATATGACATTGGTATGCGATGAGTACATAAGGCTAATTAGCTCTAGCAATAGCTATATGGTCCAATTGAGGGAGAGTTATACGCACTATACACTTTTTTCCTTTACCAAGTTTTTATTTCACTGATTTTTCTTGGAAAAGTTTTTAATGAGGCAGTCTAAGTTAGTGTATAATAAAAGACAGTGAATATTGTACTCTTTTTTCTTCGTTAAGTTTTTTTTATCCCATTGAATTTTTCTTAGCAAGGTTTTAACGAGACATATTCATAGTATTTAGTCATTGTTGGGTCGACATGTGCTCGAAAAACATGGGAGCAAAAGTGGTTTGGAGCTACTATTCTTTCCAAGGAGTAATTAATCAAGTGTAGAGCAAATATAGTCAAACTGCGCAAGCGTACGCATAAAGTAATATAGGGTTTCATGTGAGCCCCAGATTATCGTCCTCAGAGAATAATTGGAAAAAGTGGCGTTTAAAGGAAGTGAATAAGAAAACGCAAAGAAAACTAAAACAAAGAGCAATCATTCTTAGTCAGAATTCACAAGGAGCACTATCTATTAGCTAGTTAAACAGAGTTAACAAATCTAAATAAGCTAGTATTGGATGTCCTCTTAACTTCACTGAACTTGAAGTAAGATAAACTAGTAAAAATCAAAGTTGAAGCAAGAATTAAATAACAAAGAACTTAAAAGTAACAGAACCATCAAGAACTGAAGAAATCGATTGTTGTAACCAGAATTATCAAGAGAAATTATAAAATTGTGAAAGTATCAAGTAAGAAATGATGCACTGTTTTAAAAGAGTAAACTCAGTAAAAGAAATAGTAGGTCTTGGGATCAATATTTTCGCCCCCTTAGTTGTTCCTACAACGTAGTATGAATTCAGAAATGGATTATACTCCTGTCATCTTTAGCGACTTAGGTTAAATCTTAGGTAATCTGGAGCAAAGGCCTCTTACACCAAATCACACTAAGAATTTCTCGAATTGAATCTCAAGGACATTATGCTGCCTTTTCAGAAGAGCATGGTTGAAGGGGTCACTAGCAAAAGTGAAGTACACATAACAATGTTCCTCCTTCCAAGTATTTCCTTGACTCAGAGCAAAATATCCTAAGATTTCTAATATTGCTCCACACTGCTTTGTGAGGGTTTCATCGACCAAGTAGTCTTGAGATGAGGTTGTAAACCAAAGGGTGTTACAAAATCATAACATTAAATCAAGAAACAACTCATAATCCATTAAAAAAAATATAGTTCCATTACAAGTTCATCCTAAGACAAAAGGGACTACTTCTACCTCACCCTTAACCTACTTAGAGAATTAGCTCATTGGGAGCATGATTAAAACCTAGGAAATTACAGAGAAGAAATATGAAAATTGTCAAAAGATCCAATCCCCCTTCACTGCAAATGTCTTCTCTTTTTATAGCAATGGTGGATGGTTCCTCTAACTTGTAATCTTGACCGCTCCTTAGATCTATGGTTTAGCTTTCCTCGGGATAAATGTTATCTCACTACATTCTCACTTCTTTACACACGCACCTCATGCATTAGGTAAAAATGTTTGCCATTTACCTAATACGTCTATGATGAGACAAATGTTTATGACTCTCTCACTCATCATTATTGTAGAATTTTTTTCACCTATAAACAACCCTCATTACTATTGAGAGGAAAACTTTTACATATTCACTCACTTTGTTCTTACCCGGATACAACCAAAGAGACATTGTGCCTTAAACTCTCCTTTTGTTTCTCAGTTCATATATGAGACTCACTTATGGTGGTTTTCAAGTTGAACTCGGGCTTATTTTTTTGTGCCTCATTATATCATTATAAATATTACCTAGAACTACTGCACAACCTTTTTAACCACCTAATTTCCCAAATTATGATTACTACCACCACATTAATGACATCTGTCATAATCAGTCAACATTATGAATTTATGTCTGATCTGTTTCCTTATTGTGTTATTCAGCGAGTAGATTTTAAAAGATCAAGAATAATGTGTGTGTTACACACACACAGATTTCACCAACTACCATGAATTCATAATCTCGTCTAGCTATGCAATATCCTGTCAGAGTGATGAAATATTAACTTACAGAAAAGTAACCAATTTTTCATCAAGGGTGAGAGGGCATTGACCATCAACCTCTTAAACATAATCAAACTCCTCCTAAGTATATAAAATCGTGTAAACCTCGATGTTACTATTCCATTTCAATAAAAGAGTTTTATAATTCTCATTTAATTACAATTTTCCTACACACCCTTCGATTTCCGTGCTGACATGAGTCTTAAATATAATTTTTTTTAACACATGAATCTCACGTACTTTTTATCTCTACAACATGAGATTTCAATTCTCCTTCAACATTTCAATTATCCTTCAACACGAGAATTATAAAACCCTCGATAAAATCGTGTAAACCGCAGTTTTACCAAAATTCGATGCCTTGTACATTCTCTCCTGAAGACACGTCATCATCTGACCACAGCTGAAATACGCAAGAGAGATAGCATGACAAGTTGACAACCTTTTCAGAACGTTCAGCTCATGAAAAATGAGCAAAATACACAAAATAAATCATCCACAATTCACACCCAAAAAATTGAAAAAACCAAAACAATAAATAAAAAGAAAAATCCCAAACTCAAACAGAGAGAGAAAAAGAAATTAATCTATAAATAAATCAAATTATTAACTTGATCAGAAAATATCAAGAACTTCCGAAATCAAATTGTTGCAAAGTGGGCAATTCCCTCTGCTCACCCAAATCTCCCTGGAACACATCCTGCAAAACGTGTGGCCACATGGTATAAACGCCGCACCTTTATGCCTCACCATGCACACGCAGCAATTATACTCTACTACGCTCTTCTTTTTTTCTTCTTCTTTCTCATAAACATCCACGTCATCATTATCATCAATGCTCATTCCACACAAATCCATCTCGAATCCCAATTCCCCATCCGTCTCCTCTAACAAATCCATCAGCGACATGCTCGCCGCCCCAGCCGCCGCAGCTTCCGCCGCATCGGGAGACTCGCCGCCAGCTAATAAGGCGTTGACGGGAGGGGTGATGAGATCCGAATTGTCGTGGTCTTCCTGAACGTCGTCGTTTGGTTGTTCGCGAGGTAAGTTGTTCTGAGTCGACGCGTCCGAGTCAAGGCGTGTTTGGGCCTGGACCGAGTTGCGTGGCGAGGATTGGGATAAGACACTGTTATCATTATTATTATTATTCTGGATAGGGATAGGGATAGGGATAGGGATAGGAACGGTGGAAGTCCAAACCGAACCGTTAGTGCGCCTGAGCCGAAGCTTGTCCTTGAAGGCTTTCCAGGATTTGCGATCCTTCGCGTTGTTGGTTAAAACGACGGCGTCTTCTTGGATTATATCTTGGAGAGTTCGGCTCTGGCTGAGATGGTGGCTCACTTCAGCTTCAGCTTCGACTTCGGCTTCTGTCTTCTGGTTGGCTAAAACGACGTCGTTGAGGAACAAATCGGCTAGTGAGTCTCCGCTACTTGTGTTGCCAGCTGTCATTTGGTCGTAAAGCGTTTTCCTCCGGCGACCTTCCATTTTCCGGGAAAATCTGTTTGTTACTTTCCGGGAAAATAATTATAGCAGGAAAATTAAAGAATGATTGGATTGAGATTTGCTTCTGCAATGGAGGATTTTTTTAGGGAAGTTTTTTCTTGGGAAAGTTGCGGGCTTGATTGGAAATGGAAAGTTGGTGAGTTAATGATGGTGCACAGATGAGTAATGGAAGGAATTGTTAGTTTCCGGGGAAGATTGTAGTGTGAAAATTAAGGAATGAATCTACAGGAATGGAATGTGTTTGTTTCTTCGATGGAGAATTTATGGGGTTAAAGTTTTCTCGGGAAGAAATGGAATGAGTCAACGTTTTTTCTTTGGAAAACTTTCTTTTTCTGAGAAAACGAAAGGAAAAGAGAAAAAGAAAAGAAAACAACAGACGACAGAAATTAATAAAAAGGTTAAGCGTTTGTGATTTTAAATAATATATTTTGTGTTATTTTGAATAAAATTATATTGTTTTGGTGTGTTTTAGTATCTTTTCATATATATATATATACTGAAAAATATTACTCTCATTTTATAAAAGATAACTTTTCTCATGCTCTCAGTTTGATTTTCGCACCCCTCATTTTTATTTTTTCTTGTAATTATGGGATTCACTCATTTTCTCTCTACTATATAAGATAATTATTTTATGTGAAAGGAGACTAATAAAACTCATATATTTTTAAGTTTTATAAAAGTTACGTCGTAAGAAAAGTGAACTTGTCATGTTATACAAATTTGTTTTATGTGCCTTAGTTTTATTTTTTTCTTTTTGCTTCAAAAAATGTAGACCTTACAAAATATTGTATCTGTAAGAAAATCTCATGTTCAATGATATATGCAAACCCTTATATTTTTAATAAAATAAGGAAAAAATAGAAAAGAAAAATACAAAAATATATTAAAAGAAGTAATTTTATTTAAAATGATACAAAATTATATAACAAAAATAATTATGTCATTTAAAATTATAAATACTTTTACCATTAATAATAGGGTTGTAGTAGATAGGGGTGGTAAACGAGCCAGGGGCCTTTCGGGAGCCTTTGGCTCGGCTCGTAGAAGCCTGAGCTCGTTTAATAAAAGCTCGTGTTGGAACCAGGCTTGGACTTGTATAAAAGTTTGTTTAATAAAAAGGCCTCAGACTCTAATTCAGAAGCTCGGCCTTAGAGCCTCCCAGGCTAGCCTAGTATATAAATATTTATTTATACTACTTGTAATAACTCTCTCTCATCAATTTATTTCACCCCATTTTATTGGTTTAACAGACTTTTTGAATGATTTTGTTCTATATTATGCTATTTGGATATATATTGAATTTATGTATATTTATGGAATTACTAGTGTTGTTCTATATTATCCTTCATCCTCCTTCACACAAACAAACCCACAAAAACTCATTCGTTCCACTGTGCACTGCTCGTTTGTGTCAATTTATTTTTTATTTTATTTATTTTATTTTTATTTTTGTTGGCACTTTTTTTATAATGGGCTAAGATAATATAACATGTTATCTACCTTCTCTCACTTTAATTTTTTTTGTTTATTGTAGACTTTGTAAATTATTGCTGCAAATTGGAAGCTAAGGTTTCTATCTTGAAATTGATTTTTTGTGGAATTCTGTTCTCTTATTTTTATTCTTTAACATGCTAACAGGCTAAGACAGGTTTCACACAGGCTTTTATTTTTTGTAAATAAACCAGGCCACAGACCAATATTATATTCGTAACAGGTAACAGGCTAAGGCCAGTCGGACACGTTTAAATACAAGCTTGACCCGTTAAGATCAAAGCTCGGCTCGGCTCGGTCCGTTAACACCCCTAGTAGTAGACAACGTTTACGGAAAGAAATGAATGAAAGGAAAAAAAAATTATGGAAGAGATCGTCAATGAGACACAAAGCAAAGACAAAAGAAAAGGACAGAAAGATAATGCCTTGGATGCCTTTGGTTGCTGAAGAGATTAAGAGGGGCCCACATATCATTTTTTTTATTTTTTTTTTGGAAATGGCCCACATATCTTATTTGAGCACAGATTCGATTGATGTAATTTATTTGTTTGTGAGAATAAAAAATGTAGAAATAAATAATATTCATCAATTAGGAGGAAGACGACGAAGAAAAGGAATTGGATAATTAGAAGCGTTGAAATATGTAATAGTGAAGTATATTTCTGTTTTTGGAATTGGAAGTGTGGATTATTGTAAATGCCGAATTAAAGTTTTGGGATGAAGTGATTCTTTACATGATGTCAGAGCTTTCAGTGACTGCAAAGTCATGAGTAGTTCGATTCTCACATCCCCTACTTGTGGAATTAAATAAGAATAAGTTAAACCAAAATGAATTTTTTTTTAGATCTATGCAATATCCACGCTTCACACCCGAAGGGCTCTTGCGTGAAAAGATGTGTTATATAATATATATATATATATAAACCATTAAAAATGTCATCATCTAACACCTTAAGATTTTGAGATTTTGGGTTAAATTGATTCTTTATATGGTATGAGAGCTTCCTTGATCACAAGGTCACGAGTTCGATCCTCACTGCTCCCACTTTCGAGTGAAATTAAAAAAACCATAAAGTAAAACTAAAAATATTGGTTTTACCTTATATGATATCCACACTTCAACCTCAAAGAGCTCTTGTGTGAGAGGTATATTAGAGAATAATATAAATTTTAGGTTAAATTAATTCTATACAAAAAGTAGTATGAATGTGACTGAATTTTTTTTTTCTGCAATTAAAATACAAACATTAAACACTATGAAATATGTACCAAAAAGCGAAGAACAGATGAAAACATTGATATGATAGAGAATGAACGAGAAATGGTGGGGTGCTCACTGCTGACCATCATAAAAAGCTACCAAAAGATGCTGTTAGGTGCCGTGTCTTCTGGATTTCTCTATCTTCTATGAATGAGGGTTATAGGTTTTTATAGTTCTAACGAAATTTTAAATAGTTCTTCATATTTTAAAAGTTTTTAGGATACCTCCACATTTTTATGAATTTCTTTAGCTTTTAAACACGAGGATAGTTACATTTACTATTTTTCTAATAGGAAGTGGCGTGGAACATGATGGAAAGAGAAATAGTAGAGAGGGAGTGGAAGAAGTTCTTTAAGAGAAAAAAAAATGGTATCAAATAATAACGTTGATTTAATTTTATCTGATGATTTTAAGAGAAGTAATAAGAAGCACGGTTGCTAAACCGTAATACGCATTATGTATTGTTCGGTCGATTTTTTATATCGTGTATCGTAAATTGTATCAAATTATAAAATACAAAAATATAATAAAAAATAATTTAAAAATATATAATATCATATAAATCTAAATTTCAAAAAGGATTCAATCAACCAATTACATAAGTTTCTAAAATGGAGACCAATTATTTTCCTACGTATCAATCATCAAGATTAATATTTTTATTACTATCACTATTAACATCTATAAGAGATATAACTAATCTATCATTCTCTTCATTAGGTAATCATCTTACTCATCTCTCATTTCTTGTTCAACAATTTGAGGTATTTTTTTCTTATCATTCTTGTTAACAATATTATTTCCTTGATCAAGCCTATTGACAAATCAAACCTTTATTTTATTTTTTTATTAATAATAATTTTTTAGATTTTTTTTAATTTAAATTACAAATTAAAATATGTATTTCTTTTTTATATATTAAAAATTAAAAATTTTGATTTAATTTTTGTATCATTCGATACAATCCCTTTCCGATACATATTTCGATACGTATCGCTGCACTTGTAAATAGTATTATATCGTATGATACGTATTTGATAACTACAGTGAGAAGTGATAAATGTAATTGATAGTAAGTATAAGTTCTCTTTTATTTTATTTTTTGGTTTAACCTGGAGGTATCCTCATTCAACCTCATCCGGTCACCTTCATTCGAGGAGGGAGGCACATCTTCTGACTCCCAAAGATTTTCAAGAATTTGCTTGAGGCAGAATTTGAAACCCTGACTCAAACAAATACTTGGGAGCTCAGTTGCCAACTAAGTTACCCTTGGGGGTTTAAGTTTTTTTTTTTTTTTACATCAAGAAATTAAATAAATATATGTAAGTATATGTATTTTATGTTTCGTTTGAAATAAAGTTAAGGTTAGAAAAATTATTTGTCGCTTTATTTGTGTCCTTTTTCCATTTTTAAAAATGTCGCCAAAACTTAACAAAAGTATTAAATAAGTTCTTATCTCATTAATATTGTGTGATAAAATTTTATTAATACTTCTTTAATCTTATATGTTGATAAAATACGAACAATATATTCATTCAATGTAATTTAATTGAAATTTCAAAATGATTAAACATATCTTCTTGTCTTACAATATTGGACCAGAATATCGGGAAATTAATAAAGTTTTCTAAGTGTGCCACATTGATGTTGTGGGTTCATTTTCAAAATCGTTGAGCGTTGGATATTGTTAAAAATAATTAAAAAAAAAAATCCATAGCATATACAAAATGATAAAGTAGGAGCTGAGTGTAAAAAAAAGAAAGATGTATGACTGTCCAGTGCTTACTTTTCGTTGAGACAGCTATCGTGTTTTCCCTTGTGGTGGTTGGGGTAGCTTCAATATTGTTCTGATGGATGCATTTTAACAAATAGGTTCCCCAATAATTTGGAAAAAATGTTCCTATGTATGTTCTAGACTCTAGTGCTCCAATGAAAAAGTACACGACTTTGGTTTCGGACAATGTTTGCAGCAAGCCCAATTCACTAAAGAGGGCCGAAAACGTCTAAGAAGAAGCCTAGATACTTGAAGAACTTTTGGGTCAATTGAAACTACTGGCCCAAGGATTCCATAAGCCAATTTAAGATGAATTTCGATTTTTCTTTAACTATTTTGAACGATGGAAGTAGTTAATTGTGTTGAAGTTGTATTGGTATATGAGTTATATGGATGACATGTTGCAGCACCAAAAACCAAATTCCTTAATACCCAAAAAAAAAAAACCCAAATTCTTGCTGACCCATTGATTTGTGTGTGGCTTTTTTTTTTTTTTTTTTTTATCTGAAACACGTGGGCCCACATCTTAATTTGTGTCAACATGATATTTCTATTCCCCATGGTATATAGGTATAAAATGTGATTATCTTAACCGAATTAGAAAATTTTCAAAATCTCCTCTGTTTCTTCTTCTTTCATTTCTTGCTCTTATATACGTAAATTTTAGAATTATAAATTATAAAAATTAAAATTAATGAAATACAAATTTAT